ACCACCTGGCCATACTTCAATTTTTAATTTGTATTCCTAATAACTACTTTATACTTGAACCATCCTTTTCATAAGCTTCATTTGCCATCTCCGTAACTACTCCTGGATCAGGTATTCATATCTTCCCCATTTAAATTGGCTAGTCTTTATAATTAAGTTTAGTATATCTTAGAACTATACGTTTGTCAAAATGCTTACAAATATCCTTTCCCAAATTCTGTTGCTTCCCTTTTCATTTGGAAAAGTGTCTTTTGAAGAGCAAAAAGTTTTCGTATTTGAATGAAGCATAATTGTTGACTTTTTTTATCTCGTGTTTGTTCATATTTAGAACTGCCATACCAAATGGTAAGATTTTATGTTTTCTTCTAGATTTATAATTATTTCTACATTTAGATACATGATCCACTTGGAGTTAATTGTTTAATATGGCGTGACGCAAAGGCAAAGTTCATATTCTGGCACATTTTAAAAAATACCGTCCCCTGTTGTATGAAATATAAACATAATATAAAGAAATACAGATCCAAATGATGGACAGAGACCTCTTTCTCCCTGGAACCATTTGAATTATGTGTTCTTGTAATATAATTCTATCCATTATTCTTACCTTTCAGTTTGTTCTTTTCACTTACTTAAAATGGAGCAGGCCGGGCGTGGTGGCTCATGCATTAAATCCTACGCATCTGGAGGTGAGGCGGGCGATGCTTGCAGTATGAGTTCGAAACAGCCTGAGCAAGAGCGAAGACCCCCATCTCTACATAATAGAAAGAAATAATTAGCCAATAAATTTACATAGAAAAAATTAGTCGGTCATCGGGCACATGCCTGTATCGCAGCTACTTGGGGAGGCTGAGGCAGCGGATGTGCTTTGTCCAGGAGTTTCTGAGGTTGCTGTGGCTGCTGACGCCACGGCATACCTAGCCTGGCAACAAGTGAGACTCTGTCTCAAAAAAAAAAAAAAGATGCTTAGTCATTATAATTTCAGCTTCTTCTATAATTTAAGAATATACATTTTAAGTATTTTAGCTATTTTTTTTCTGTTTACCACAATTTTAATATATTATTTTCATATCAATTGATTCTAAATACTTCTAATTCTATGATTCTCCTTGTCTCTGAATGTTAACGCCTATTCTTAAATTCAAACAGATGGAGTTTTTGGTTTTATCTTTCAATGCTAATAGTTTCACTATGATGAAAGGAAACTAATCCTTGACATGTTTAACTTACTTTTGGTTGAAGAAATTTCATAAATATCTATTGTGCGTTGAAAAGAACGTGTTGTACAGCCTGTTGCATAGTATTATAAAAATCAGTATACACCATTTTAAATTTCTATATCCTTATTTCAATATTGATAGAAAGACCTGTTAACTCTATTAGGTGATTGTTATTTTTTGTATAATTGGTACTGTCCTACATTAGTGATGCCACACTGTTGTGCACACAAACTTAGAAATTTCTTATCTCCTTTTCCCTGTGTAACACGAACCTTTAATCTTAGGCAGTGGCCCTTTATCTCTAGAGAAGCATTCCTGCTAAAGTCTATTTGGTCTGTATTACACAGCTGTAAGCTTCTTTTGGGTTATATATTGCATAAAGACAATTCATCTTACTTCTAACTTAGATCCTCATATTTAATTGTACATAATAAGAAGGTGGTGTATAATTATGTGTATCTGTAATAAAATAAAAGTTGACAACATTGTCTTTTTAATTGGAAGAATTAGTCACATTGTTGTCAGTACGGTTATTTTGGATGCTATTATCTTATCTATTTCTCGAATCTCATTTCTTTTCTTTCCTTTTTGCCTCCAACCAGTTTTTCCTTTCTCCTATTTTTCTCCTGAATGAAATCTGATGAAGATTCTAATGTACGTTTACCGCTTCTTTAAGCTGGTATAATCCCTATAGCACAGTTCTCCTTTCACAAAGGCAAACAGTAAATGTCTCAATGTTCATACGGGAGTATGTAATACCACGAAAAAGTATTGGGATAAAAAGTAAAATTTGTCACCATATACCCTAAGTATTGACATGAATCGAGCAATATAGAGGGAAAGCCTATTTTGGTCATTATGAACTGAGAAAAACTGTTCTTTTCTCATTTTTAATGAATTGCGATAAGATAAACTATTCAATTACCAAAGAAACACACATTAAATTTTTTTACAAGTAAACTATTTGTAATAGTTAATAAATAAGGTAATAAGACAGATGTAAAGATACTTTTTATTTTAATCATCTTTCTTCCATCTTGGCTCTGCATGTAAAGAAATTCTTAATACCGTTAGAATATCCTTTGGGTCAGCAAGGTAACACAAATAAACGGGACCTATACATTTGCTTTGTCTGCTTGGCCTATATACATCTATCAACCTACGTTATATTAAAGTGCAATCATACACCTCCCATTATTCAAACTCTCCATGAACATTACCTACACTTTGTAAATTCTCAGTATAAAAATAAAAAACTGTGCTCAAATTTTATCTTCAATGTTTAATACCTCATTACTTAGAAACACTTTATTCACAAATAATTTTTATTCATCATTTTTTAAAACTAATTAAACAACCAATGCAAGCAGACCTGTGGCTAAGCCTGTCTTCCAATGCTTCAAAAAGGGGGCCAAGTTAAGACAATCTTAATTCTTATTAAATATTATTTTTAATATAAACGAAAAAACAAATAAAAATATTAGATTAATAAAATATCATTTCTTAAAAAGATGTAACATGTAAAATAAATCACTAAAATATATTCTAGATCCATCACATATTGTACAGCTATTTTTTGAAGATGCTGGTCTGTCACTTAAAAAGATAGAATGCTATTTATGAAAGAACCTATTATTCTTAGTAGTACTTATTAAACATATTTTAATACTAACAAATATAAAATCACCCTGAGATAGGTAAGAAACATCAAATGGGAACTAAAATGGAAATGGAATAGAAAACAATAAGCACGGTTTATAAATATAGTATTTGTACTTACTTAAACATTTCCTTGCGCAGGCAAAACCAGCCTGTGTTACAACCCCACAACAATGAATTTTCATAGTACCAATGCACGCCCTGAAGAGCTGTCCTTACAAACAATACACTGATGACATACTCTCCTATTTCCCTTCAAACAATTTTTCATCCAAAACACGAAACTGAATGAACCATCGTAATGATACATGAGTCATAGGGTCTCCTCCCTTCAAATTCCATACGTCACCTGATAACATGCACAAAAAAGCCACGTAAGAGTGATTAGTAACTTTCCAAGTCTTGTGTTAGTCTTTCCCTCGCTTTCAACTCATGTTCCCCAATGTTAGTAAATATGTTATGAAAAGAGACTTCCACTGTGAGGTGCTGCAGAAGCATAAATTAACTTGCGAGGCAAACTACCGCGTTTGCTAGTTGAGAAAAAGGATAAAGCCCTCTCGCTGTAGCTCTGCCCTTCTTGAGTCCACAAGACCAACATGCAGATTCCCTGGAGGACTGCCGCCAACAGCCCAGCATTAGCACGAAAGGGATTAGTAGACTGAACCAGAGGGAAGGACAACATTTAGGAAAATGGACATGAAAAGACTTGTGATAAAACTGAAGATATAACTGTTATTCAAAATCCAATAGTTTCCCTTAGCATTGTTTCAGAAATAAATGCCATTTTTATAAGCTTTTCGAATCCTCTAATATATACAAATTAACTCATCGCTGTTGGAGGTAACAGTTGAACTTTATTTCAACGAGACTAATGGCGATCCCATAAATCAAAATCATCATTAACCACCTACTGTTTTACACTGGTCACTAGTACATCTATAGGCATAACAACAAATAATGCAGCAAAAACATCGCGAGACTTTTCTGTTATGTAAGTAGTTCCAAAAAATATAAACCAGACGCGCTCATATGCTGAAATCACTTGTGCAATAAGTCAAGCAGTTAAAATGGCAAGAAATAACTTGTACCTAAAAGATTAAGAGACAACAGACGTTCCTGGATAAAAAAAAAGAAAAAATAAAAAGATCTAAGAAAAATGTACCAACAACTTCTTAAGACCCAGGAAGAGCACCTGTACGGACAACAGTATACTAAAAACAGTAAGGAAAAAGAAAAGTGCTCAGAAGTAGGTTTGAGGAGTCACAGGTGAGCAGCACCAAGTGTGCACTTCTGACCTTTCTTGGGCGACAGACTCCTACTCCCTGCTGCCCTATCCCAATGCAGAAAGCAAGGTTATCATTCACTAAGGCACAAATTGTGAACATGATGCCCACACCTTTCTTTTGAGGAAAAAATCTAAAGCCCTTCATTCGTACTTAAAGACTGAAAGAACAAGTTCACTGCGAGAGGCGATGCGGATCCATTTACAGTGAATATCCTTTGCATCCTAAGCAAGAGGTTTTTGGTTTGTTTAATATTCGCATCGTTCTGTAAATCTGATATACGAAATTCCATTTTCCCAGTTGTCAGCGCAGGACTAGAAGAGTAAGTAGAGCCAGTTCTTGGTATGCAATTGCAAAGTCTGAGACTGCCTTTTGTACAGTTCCACGCCACCTCCCAGGCCACCCTGTGGACCAGCAGCCATTTTCCACGGGGTTCCTCATATGAATTACAGAACACAGAACATGATTTAAGAGACTATTTTCTCAATTCTCCCAAGGATTTCATTTATCATTTCACATGTGCCATTCTTGATGCACAGGAGAGAAGTTAGTTCACTAACCCTACAGGGCTTAACCCACACAGAACCCTAGTTGAGCAAAGATACCAGAAAAATAAGTTAGACTAAAATATTAGCCTCAGTAAACCAAGTTAGGAGGCTAAATATGCTTTGTAAATAAATATCTATAAAATAAAGGAAAAATATTTTCATATTATTTGTTGATGGGGATCACTGATTCCAAAATCTTGATACAATAATATAGAAAATGAAGAACTAAAAATATTTTTCGATGGAGAAAAACAAGTTTAGAGAACAGTACCCTTTGCACTATGAAGTACCTGTGCGAAATACAGCTTCAGCTTCTTCCCATGGAAGTCTGTTTCGTGGAGTTCTATTCGAGCTCTTGCTGCTGCTTCAGGTTTGCTGAAATTTATTCTGACTCTTCTAAAGCTTTTGAACAACTGAAATGTAACTTGGTCATCATAGATGGTGAAAAGTGCTTCAAACCTTTCCTACAAATTGAGGAGCAGCAGGGCAGAGAGAATATGGGGGAAAAAAAGAAAAACCTTTAACAGAGGAAATTTAAGTCATTAAGTCTAAGTAATGGGTAGAACCCATTATGAGTTACTTTTTTTTTTCCAAAAAAGCATACTTTCCTTGCAGGTATACACGAACAGATATCCTGTAACTCATATGCCAAATTTTGTAATTTGTACTTTTCTTAGATATAATTAACTTTATTATTATATACATTTAAAGGTTATCAAATGAACATAAGCCATAAAAGAATGATACAAATACACCCAAATTATAGAACATTGCTGTTGAAGTCCTCAGTGGTTGTTTTTTCCATCACATTCTTTTCCTCCTGCAAAGTAACTATCTGTGCAATTTTATTTCCTTGATCTTCTTTATAGTTTTATAACATTTGTTTGTATCCCTAAGAATGTTATCATGTTGTATGTATTCTTCTACAACTTGATTTTTGGCTTAGATTTTGTTCCTAAGAGTGTCCCTTGTTGCTGTGGGTAACCGCAAGTCATTCTTTCCCACTGCTATATAGTGTTCTATTGTTGAGCCATACTCAATTTACCTAATCCAATGCTGTTAGAATTTGGATGGCCTCCAGTTTAACTACAACAGTACAGCACTGCTATGGACGTTCTTGGGCAAACCTCTTAGTACCTGTTCGCACCAGCTTCTCTGGTGTATATACCTACAAGTGGACTCCTTTGAGCCTTAAACTTGGTACATCTTTAAATTTAGTAGATAGGCCGGGCGCGGTGGCTCACTCGTGTAATCCTAGCACTCTGGGAGGCCGAGGTGGGAGGATCGCTCGAGGTCAGGAGTTCAAAACCAGCCTGAGCAAGAGCAAGACCCCATCTCTACTATAAATAAAAATAAATTGGCCAACTAATATATATAGAAAAAATTAGCTGGGCATGGTGGCGCATGCTTGTAGTCCCAGCTACTCAGGAGGCTGAGGCAGGAGGATCGCATGAGCCTAGGAGTTTGAGGTTGCTGTGAGCTAGGCTGACGCCATGGCACTCACTCTAGCCTGGGCAACAAAGCGAGACTCTGTCTCAAAAAAAAAAAAATTTAGTAGATAATGTCAAATAGTTTTCTAAAGTGTTTGTAGCAATTTACTCTCTAACTGCATACACGTGTCGTGGTTTCTTCATATCTTTGCCTATCCTTGATAAAATTAAACTCAAATTTTATTGATGGGAGGTAGGAAATATGAAAAGGGCTCTAGTTTTGGCTGTAACTCACATTTCACTGAATAGTGAGGTCTATGTTCATGCCTTACTGGTCGACTGGGGTTCCTTTTTTTTTCCTGCAAAGTTTTTAATTTTATTTTAAAATTCTTTTTTATTTTACTTATTTTTTTTCCAGCATATTATGGTGGTACAAAAATTAAGGTTACATATATTGCCCTTGTCCCATTTCCCCTCTGGGGTTCCTTTTAAATGTGGTCTGCCTGTTCATACCTTTTGCCCATCTTTCTATAGGGTTTTTTTATTGAGTCATGGGAGTTCTATAGAAACACTGTCAATTGTTTGTGCCATAAATATTTTTACCCAGTTCTTTTCAGTGTTTTTTTTTTTTTTCAGAAACAGAAACTTTGTCAAACAGCACCTCATGCAAAAAGAAAAATAAAAAGTATAAAAAACCCCAAAAAATTAAGATTAAAAAAAAAAAAACAGAAGCTTTAAATTTGAACATTGCTGAATTTATTCATCTTTGTGTGTGTGTGCGCCTCTTGTGCCTTAAGGAGTTCTTCCACACTCTGGCACTCATCTAGATGGCCTTCTCATGGTTTTACCTTTCATGCTGAAGTCTTTACTCAACATAAAACAGATGTTTGCTTATGAGGTGCCCCTCCACCCCACTGCAACTGCTATTTTGATTTTCCTGTCAGTATAAATTAGCTTACATTTTGTAAAATTTTATATAAATGGAATTATATATGACATGTTCTTTTTAGGGGGGTGTAGCTTGGCTTCTTTCACTGAGTATAATTATGTTGAGATTTATCAGTGTTATTGTGTTCCTTTTCTTGCTCCTTTCTATAGTCAAGCAGAATTCCACTGTATGATGTGTTGTCATTACTTTTGAGGACATTGGGTGTGTTGAACTATTACAAATAAAGCGTATGACATTCAGGACACATTTCGTGGAATTATTTCTTTTGGGTAAATACCTAAGAGTGAAAGAGCTGGACTGTCTGACAGGCATATAATTCTCTTTTCAGAAACTACCAAACTGTTTTCCAGGTAGCTGTACCATCTTACATTTCCACCAACAGTGTATGAGATTTCCAGTTGCTCCATGTTCTGACCAACACTTCGTATGATCAGCATTTTTAAATTTAGCCATTCTATTGGTAACAAATACTACCTCAATGTAGTTTTTTTTTTTTTGAGATAGAGTCTCACTCTGTTGCCCCACCTAGAGTGCCATGGGGTCAGCCTAGCTCATAGCAACCTCAAACTCCCCTGCCTCAGTCTCCCAAGTAGCTGGGACTACAGGCATGCACCACCATGCACGGCTAATTTTTTTTTATGTGTTTTTAGTTGGCCAATTAATTTCTTTCTATTTTTAGTAGAAAGGGTCTTGCTCTTAGGCTCAGGCTGGTTTGGAACTCCCAACCTTGAGCGATCCACCCACCTTGGCCTCCCAGAGTGCTAGGATTATAGGCGTGAGCCACCACACCTGGCCATACTTCAATGTAGTTTTAATTTGTATTTTCCTAATAACTACTTATATTGAACATCTTTTCATAAGCTTATTTGCCATCTCCGTAACTTCCTGGATCAGGTATTCATATCTTTCCCCATTTTAAATTGGAGCTGTCTTCTTATTAAGTTGTAAGAGTTCTTTTATATATCTTAGACATATACCGTTTGTCAAATATGTCTTACAAATATTTTCTCCCATTCTGTTGCTTCTCCTTTTCATTTTGGAAAAGTGTCTTTTGAAGAGCAAAAGTTTTCGTATTTTGATGAAGCAAATTTGTTGACTTTTTTTATACTTCGTGTTTTTTGTGTCATATTTAAGAAATCTCTGCCATACCCAAAGTGGCTAAGATTTTCTATGTTTTCTTCTAGATGTTTTTATAGATTATTTCTTACATTTAGGTACATGATCCACTTTGAGTTAATTTTTGTATATGGCGTGACGCAAAGGGTCAAAGTTCATTTTTTTCTGGCACCAATTGTTGAAAAAATTATCCGTTCTCCCTGTGTACTGTAAATTATAAAACATAATTAATTGAAAGAAATTACAGACCAAAATGAGTGGGACAGAGACCTCTTTCTCACACTTGGAAACATTTTGAATTATGTCTTCTTGTATATTAATTTCTTATCTCATTATTCTTTCCTTCAAGTCTGTTCTTTTTCTATCTACTTAAAATGGATGCTTAGGCCGGGCGTGGTGGCTCATGCATTAATCCTACGCACTCTGGGAGGCTGAGGCGGGCGATGCTTGCAGGTTAATGAGTTCGAAACCAGCCTGAGCAAGAGCGAAGACCCCCCATCTCCTACATAAATAGCAAAGAAATAATTAGCCAAACTAAATTTAACATAGAAAAATTAGTCGGTCCATGGGCACATCCTGTATCGCAGCTACTCGGGAGGCTGAGGCAGCAGGATGTCTTTGTCCAGGAGTTTGAGGTTGCTGTGGCTAGGCTGACGCCATGGCACTCACTCTAGCCTGGGCAACAAGTGAGACTCTGTCTCAAAAAAAAAAAAAGGATGCTTAGTCTATTATAATTTTTCAGCTTTTCTTCTAATACAAATATTTAAAGAATATACATTTTCTAAGTATTGCTTTAGCTGTTTACCACCAATTTTAATATATATTATTTTCATTATCATTTGATTCTAAATACTTTCTAATTTCCATTATGATTTCTTCCTTGTCTCATGAATTGTTTACATGCCTATTTCTTAAATTCTAAACAGATGGGAGTTTTTTGGTTTGTTATCCTTTCAATGTCTAACTTAGTTTCACTATGATGAAAGGAGACTTATCCTTTGACATTTTTGAGACTTACTTTTGGTTCGATATAATCAATTTTCATAAATATTCTATTTGCGTTTGAGAAGAACGTGTTTGTACAGCTGTTTGCTATAGTATTATAAATATATTCAGTATATCAAGCTCATGTTCTTTAAATTTTCTATATCCTGATTTTCAATTACTGATAGAAAGACCTGTTAAATTCTCCCACTATTAGGTAGATTTGTTATTTTTCTGTATAATTTGGTCACTTTTGCTTCCTACATTTTAAGGTTATGCCACACTGTGTGCACACAAACTTAGAATTTTCTTTCTCTTTCTGGTAAACTGAACCTTTAATCATTAGGCAGTGGCCCTCTTTATCTTTCTAGGAATGCATTCTGCCTTAAAGTCTATTTGGTCTGGTACTTACACAGCTGGTATAGCTTTCTTTTGGTTATATATTGCATGAAAATCAATTTTCATCCTTTACTTCTAACCTTTATGTATCCTTATATTTTAGATGTTACATAATAAGAATGTGTGTGTGTATAATGTATGTGTATCTGTACATAAATAAATCTAGTTTGACAATCATTGTCTTTTAATTGGAAGAATTAGTCCACTGTTGTCAGTACTGGTATTTTTGGATGTCTACTATCTTATCTATTTGACTCAGAATTTCTATGTTCCTTTTCTTTCCTTTTTTTGCCTTCAACAGTTTTTTTCTCTTTCTCTATTTTTCTTCTCTGAATGAAATTCTGATGAAAGACTCTAATGTACTTTTAGCACCTTCTTTAAAGCTGTATAATCCCCTATAGTCACAGTTTCTCTTTCACAAAGGCAAAACAGTAAATGTTCTCAATGTTCATACTGGGAGTATGTAATACCACGAAAATAGTATTTTGGGGATAAAAAGTAAAATTTGTCACATATACCCTAAGTATTTTGAGATGGAATCGAGCAATATAGAGGGAAAGCTATATTTGGTCATTTAATGAGGCTG